TGGCTCCATATCGAGGATGGTTCCCAGTCATCTCCAGTCTTTGTTGCTCCAATTTTGTTTATTTTTATGCCTTTAATAGTCTTAAAACCCTCTGGGTCAAAGGTCAGCATTCAACCACCGGAAAAGACTTGGTTCTTGGAGTTGTTGCAGGTAATTGTATTACTAAAAATACATATTTCTAATGAAGCGGAGATTTTTACCTATATAATGTTCTCTGTCTTGTGAAGTCCACTGGAGGTCATGCTTACACCTCCCATTGTGTGCAGACCTTCACTGGTTATAGCTCTGATTGCTTTCTGTGTGCTCATCTCACGATATATTTGTGTGTAAACTGTTGTGAATCCACAGGAACTTAAGGAAAAATTTCTTAACAGTGAGGGTGACAGAGCACTGGAACAGGCTGCCCAGAGAGATTGTGGAGTCTCTTTCTCTGGAGATCTTCAAAACCCACTTGGACGCAGTCCTGTGCCACGTGCTCTAGGTGTCCCTGCGTGTGCAGGGAGGTTGGACTAGATGATCTCTAGAGGTCCCTTCCAACCTTAAGCATTCTATGATTCTATGATTCTGTGATTTTGGCACAAAACACCATTACAATGTGTTACTTCGCAGGAACCTCTTGTTCACTGTTGTGTAACACTTCAAGTTCATATATATATGCAAGTACAGGGGAAGCATGCTTTCTTTTTTTATCCCTTCCTCTGTGTGGGTGCACCAACAGTTTCTTAAGGGATAATGATACTAATATTTTTTTTCCCTAGCAAATTCAATGCAAGAAATGATCACTTTGCACTTATGTTTGCTAGTGTTGTTCTCCTGGAACAATTACTCATGCCACCATACTGAAACCAGATTATTAGATCTTGAAAATAGAGGGAGAAAAAGAATAAAGCCTGTGTTTTATCTGGGAGCTGGTGTTTACTTTGAGGTAGGCAAGAAGTTGGGGGAAAGTAAGAACGAACTTCTTAAGATGACTTTGTCATGGGGGAAACTTATTTTATTATATTTTAGGACAAAAGCTACAGGAATTTGACTAATAGCCTGCCAGTTAAATGACTTAACTCTTATTCAACATGATATTAAATCAATAGGTTATATCCTTGTCATGGAATAGTTTCTAGTGTGAATTGAAAAATTCCATGTTAGGTGTTCACTGTTTCTTCTTACCCATTTCTTATTTCTCCTACTGATGGTAAGAATTGTTTGGATAAACACCAAAGAAATACCCTTTTCCATTCTGGAAAATGAAGCTGTGTGACTTCTCCCTTAACTGAGTCTGACAAGTAGATTGTTCTCTACCCTGGTGGGCCGAACTGCTCCATAATATTTTCACATGGATTCTAGTCAAAAGAGATTAGTGGCTTTCCTTTTTCTTGTTTTTTTTTTTTTTTTTTTTTTTTTCCCCTAAGAGCGGAGTGCAATCGTTATGAAGGATACAGAAATATAGCTAAATTTATGCCTTAATTGTCACTTAGCATTTCTCTAAAAACTATTCTGATTCTTTTGGCTGTGTAGGAGATCTCTTTTGGTAGTCGATCTACATGCGTTTGTCTGTTTTAATCTCTCATAAAATACTCACCTTGCTCCTCATTCTGTGCTTCGTTCTGAAAGGAGGCAGCTTACAAGTTGTTGTGGAGTAAGGTAGAACATATAGAGGGTCTTTGGCTCCAGAATGATATTGAATGCAGCAAAGTAACAAGTTCACCTACGATTCTTTCCACGTGTTTACTTTTGTTATGCAGAAATGTTATGCTAGCAGAAGTGTCTTCCCATTGCATGCAATCTGCTGACAACTAATTCATGGTGGGATAGTAGGGGGTGACTGAAGTAGTTTATTATCAATTTTCAGTTTACTTTTGCTGTATGCCATGTTATTTTTCTTCTTTCTTCCTAACAGAAGTTTCTGTAGTGTGTGGATTATAAAAATACAATACATTTGAAACCTTGTGGTACTCGCTGATTTTCTTTTCTTTCCTTAGGTGTAGTAAATGTACTCCTGACCACTCCTTTGTGGGTGGTGAATACACGTCTGAAGCTGCAAGGAGCAAAATTTAGAAATGAAGACATTGTACCAACCAATTACAAAGGCATAGTAGGTAAGCATCTGTTGTCATCTTTAGCCAAATAAAAGTTCATTAAATGAAATAGCCTGCTGATGACCGAAGAGTAGAGGCATTTATTCCTATAACAAATTTCACTCCAGGATCTCTCTGCTTCCCTGTCTCTTTGCAGTCATGCTTTGAAAAAGGAGCGGTGCTCTTGTCTTCACACGTTGAGTTCTTGCATTGTTTTTTTTAAGATTGACAGGAAATCTGGTTTTGCCACTCTTGATAGTAATTAAGAATTTGCAGTATGCACACCTGCAACCCAAAGACATTTTGTGAGGCAGGTTATCTACTCACACAAATTCTGACATAGTGTAATCCTGGAATGTGGTGACTGAAAGTCCAGTTTGGGACTGATAGTTTGCAAAAAAAAAACTTCAGTCTCTTGACCATGCACTTTCACAATGTTGCCTTTTTAAATTAAGGGAAAAAGAGTTTCTGTGTTGCTTATTTCCATACATATAATAGAATACTTAGAAGTAGTATGGGTAGAAGATGGGAGGCAATTTTAAAATACTTTCTGAATTCCAGAACATATCCATGCCAAGGCTCCATCTCAAAGTCAACTTTCCACTGTATAATGTGGTCCTGTGGCTCTCACTTGCCTCTTGGGATTATTTTCTTGCAATTTCTGTAATCCCCTTCTTGATGGAAGAAGGATGTTTTTGCACAAATTGTCTCCTGCAATACAGACCATTAAGCCTGTCAAGTCTGCAGGGCTTTTTGTTAAGCAACTTCTTCTGAACTCAGTTTTCAGGTCAGAGAACCTGATAAAGTAGTTTTACTGCCTGTCCCCTTCCCTGTGAAGGAGGAGGAAGAATATGCATTACCTTTCTTAAGGCTGGCTCTAGGAGTGGATGGAAAAAAAACAAACAAACACCTACCATAGGAAAAGATTTCTGATTTTAAACATCCTAATTGTAAAAAGTTCAACTAAGGCTTTCATTTTGCATTAATTCATAAAGACACTTCTGTTGAATATTTGTGTTTTTTCATTCCTTAGATCTTTAGTGATTTGTGTAAGGGTTGATGGCTGGTACCACTGTCTCTGTTGTACATAAAGAGAACACATCGATGTCTTGTAAAGTCCCTGTAACAAATGCTGCAGTGCTCTTGTTTTGAAAAATCACTCTCTCCTAAAAATCACTGTCTCCCAAAAATCCTGGATGCCAGGGACAAGGATAAATTGATCGCTTAAATTTTCTTATGGCTTACTTCCTGACAAGTACATTTCAAGTTTATATCACTAGAAATAGATAGAATGTTTAAAAACATTAAAGTGCAAGCAACTTACACTTAAAGTGAGAGTTCAGGTGTCTCCTTTAATGCCTCCTTTCTGATGGTAGTAGAGCATGACAGAGGTAGTGTTCTCAGTCAGCTCCCAGGAAGGAAGAATATAGAACTGAGTTTGATTTGCCTTCGGTTTGGCCTGTGGTTGGGGGGGGATTAGAGGATGAGTATTGATGCTAAGCTTTTAGAAGAAAGAATGCAACATATGCACAAAGGAGAAGCACCAATTAATGATGGTGTGAAAAAGAACCTGCTCTGTTGCCATTTTTCTGTTAACTTCTTGATTAGGGTGAAAGATAAAAGTGTATATCCCATAAGACTGGAGAACCTAAAGGTGTGTTTTATGCACTGGAGTGTCAGCTTTTACAATGTAACTTTTCCTGTCTCTGCTATCAGAATGTTATCAAAAGCTTAATTTTCTTTTCCCCACTTTTCTTCTCAGATGCCTTTCACCAGATAATACGAGATGAAGGAGTCTTAGCTTTATGGAATGGTACTTTCCCCTCCTTGCTGCTGGTCTTCAATCCTGCCATACAGTTCATGTTTTATGAAGGCTTTAAACGGAAGCTTTTGAAAAAGCAGCTGCAGGTGAGTAGGTTTTGAGGACAGATCATGGACAGTTCTGTTATAAGACACATTCTTTGACATCTGTTACTTCAGTACATTTAAAAGTATTGGTTGGGTTTTGATTTATTCTTTTGAAGGTTAATTTTGAGTTCATATATCTTTTTTAAAAGATAAGTCATCATGATGTCATGAGACATGAATCTTTCATGTCCCTAGGTAAGTTATCACTGTGATGAATTTCTCTTCCTGTAAAAATAAATTTACACTTATTCCACTTTTGTTTAGCCATAGTTCTCAGATCTTGGTTTTAAAATAGAGATTTCAGTTCCACCAAATCTGTGTTACAACTAGATATTTCCAGACTCTTTTGAGGTTACCTATGAGTCTCTGAATATGTATAGAGAGCAAGCCTCTGAAGTCTCACAGATTTCTTATAGGCCCTGTCATTATAACAACACTTTTTCCAGAAACCCTCATTGTTTCGATATCGTTTTCCCTCGTATGGGCACTAGAATTGAACATGGCATTGCAGTCATGATATTCCCCAAATCTGTAAAATAGAAATGGAATTTCTTCTCAATTGTCACTCAGTGCTTGCCAACCCTTCCTGTTGCTTTTTTCCTCCTCCTCTATTAAATAAAGCATTTCATCTCAACTGGTGTTCATTTTATGTTCTAGCAACATGAAAAGCATTTGTGTTGTTGAATTCTAGGATAATATAGTAAGATATGTTTAAGCTAATTCTTTGTTTTTAATTCGTGGCTTTAGGTGTATTCGGCTATGTTAAAATATCAGGCCATGTGAATATTTTACCAAGCCACCCTCTTTTTTTTCTCAAGACATAGTGAAAATACTTTTAAACCAGATTTTGTCTCACAATTAAGGATAGGGTTGTTGACCATCGTTAGTCAATGTTGCAGCTGTAGCACTCAATTTGTATGTAATGAATCTATCCAGTTACATTATGGACAATGTGTCTCTGGAGTGACTAGCTTCTCTTTTCAATTTCTGTATTTTATAACTGTTGGCACTACTCTACATTCCCATATTTCTTTGTTTTCATGTTGCTTTTAAATAGCTTCCTACTACTTCAAATTGGGGTATGTTTTTGTCTATGGGAATGGGTGGAGGAGAGCACTTCCTCCTTTACAACTGTCTTTCCATAGCTTGCTTTGTTTTGGGTAACATTTTTATTATTTAACTTTCTTCTGATGGTCAAGTGTGGCAGGTTGACCTCCTTAAGATGTGTGTGTGTGTGTGTTTATTTCTGATTGGAATCAACATATTTTGTGAATTTGGAATGTATATTGATATGGGCATCTACATCTTTTTCAGGGATTAATTCATGTTATGTGTTATAGCCTAAATTGCTTACAGTTTCCTTGAGGCATCATGGAATATTGTGGGGTTTGGGCGAGAAGATGGGGCTCTAAAAAGAGTGCATAACCAATAGAAGATGAGATTTTTGCCCCATGCCTTCAAGACTACAATTCTGCAGGATAATCCAGTGGTTATATCTCGGGATTGCAGAATGATATTTTCCTTTTTTCAATTTACGTCACAGTTCCAGCAAGTGCATTTCATGTGCCTTGTTAGCTGAAACAGCAAAATCTGAAATGTTTATGAACTGATGATACATTAATGCAATCCTCTTCTTCCTCACCCCTTTTTATATCTCCTTGCAGTGCTTTGAATTGATGTAGCTATATAACTTTCTTGACTGTATTTCAGTAAATGCAAAAGCTTGTGAGCAGAGAGAAGGTGTAAATAACCTGAAGTTATTGTGAGCTAGAGAGCTGGGCTGTAATATTAACTTTTAATAGAAGAGCAAAAGAATCAGCACAGTTTTTTTTGCTGAAGATGCTTAGGTATCTGATGCCCTTATAGTAGGTACCAGTATAGAATACTCGAACACATATAGGTAACTGTCTGATTTATTGCTACGGGGAAATAATATTTTCATTTTATACTCAACAGCTCACATCTTTGGATGCTTTTGTCATTGGTGCAATAGCCAAAGCAGTTGCCACCACGCTCACTTATCCTCTGCAGACAGTACAGTCGATTCTGCGGGTAAGTGTTCATTTTGTATCAGGGTAACTACATCTGACTTGCTCTGTGGAACACATGGCATGTCCATACACCTTCCTTTTTTGAAGTAATGAACCTCTCTTTTGGGGAGAGCCCTTTTGAGCAATGCAGCTTATGGGCAAGGACAACTTTCTCCTTTGCTCCATACTGAGGGATTGTCATTGAACTTGAAAGAAATGTGCACAATTAATATCAATTAGCTTGTAGGACTGACAGTATAGCACATCAGTATGGTGTCTCCCAAAAGCTGATGGGATCATGTTACTTATAAGTCTTGCAAAAATGTAGCTTCAGTTCTTTGAATAAAAATAGAAAAATTCTAAAATGGGAAATGAAAATTAAACCCTTTAAACGCAGTTTGTTTCTGGATGACCTGGGGTAAATCAAAAATACCCTCTTTTTTTTTTTTTTGCTTAACTTTTGTTTTATTCGGCTGACTGCCTGACCTCATCAGTAGCCGGAATGTGATTCATCAGGGGAAGTTGAGCTCCCTCATAAATAATGTGTTTAACCACTTGCCCAACCGTGTACGCTAATTGCAGTGGTAATGGAAACACTTGCATTTATTCTCCCTTGCCATTTGTACCTGTGCTTGGCAATGCTGCTATCAACACTGTGTGTCAATAGATATGTGATATGGGAACAAAACCAAGTGGTTCTGTGTGGAAAAGAGCCCTGACCTTACAAAAGCCAACACTGTAACCTAATTGTTGGGCTTTTTAATCCACTTTTTGTAGATTTTTCTTGTTGATTTAACCATCAAAATGTTAATAAATGTTTCCATAATGCTATTTTTGCAAGTAAGGAGAAGCTGTAATCGTATGTGTACTGTAAAGCCATTATATATGTTTTAGAACTTGTGTAAATCTGGAGAATTAATTGAGCTGTTAATTGTGTTGTCCAACAGTACAATTCTACGCCTCTGCCACTTACACGAAAGCGGTGAAAGGAGCTTTGCCAATAAAGAGCACTCCCCTGTGTAATAGATAGTGCTAAGCAGCTTTGAGTCATGCCATGTGGTGTGTCCGTCTCCTCTTCGGTCATTAAAAATACATGCCACTGCAGGTGCTCGTTATGCAGAGGAACAGCTTCTTTAGGCAGTCGGCCAGAAAGAACTGGAGAAATGGACATGCTATTAGTGCTCTTAGTGACTGTGGAAGCAAAAGCTCTCTTTAAAACTCAAACCTTTAGTGTAAAGAATCCTAGTCTTTAGTGTAAAGAATCCTAGTCTTATTGGGGAATCTTCCACACTAATAAATGAAGTATTGATGTCCCACGGAGAAACAACCCTTTTTTCTTAGATGAGCCTTTGTTTGCAGTACAACAGAGTAGTCTAATGAGTAGAGAAGAGAGAAGGAAATGCCTGATGCTAGTGGAGTTTGGAAATCTCTGTTTAACCCAGGTAGCAGTTGGAATTGTAACTTGGAACCTTGCTAGCTTTGGGGGCGGGAGGCGTATATTTGACAATCTTTATTATTGGTCTATGTTATTGATCTATCTTTATTATTGATCTATCAATGTCAAATGAGTTAGTTGCTGATGGGGAAGCTTATGGTCTGTGAGCTTCCAGAAAGTGACACTGCACACACTTCCATAAAGAAGGGACCTTTCCCACAGTGTCCTGTTGCTACTGCTCTCAGTTGAGTTCTTAAGACGTTTAGCAGTGTGACCTGTGTCATTTTGGTGTTTCTTATAATTTCTGGACTCTTGAAATTTACTCTCACATTCTATTATCAATGGTAGTTTTGTAAACCTAAGAAGCAGCAGTTGCCTGAATAAATTCTGAGAGAAATTCATCCACATGGAGTTACTCGGTTTCATCTTCCTCTTTTGATACAACATCATACTACAGACTCCAGATGCTATTTGCCAATGTTATTATAAATACAAGTGTGGTAACCTTGCATATTAATAATTTATTATTTTTACAGTTTGCTGACAATGCTACTGGCCTGTATCAGATAAGAATATCAATGGATGCCAGAGAAGGAATTGCTGAAATTGCTAGTTAAACCCCAAGCTTAGCATTAGAGTAACAGCACTACTAAAGAGCAGTGTGGGGACGTGTAAACATACTGAGCAACAGAAAGTGTTGGGTAGATGAAACGATTTTGCATTCTTTTGCAAGAGAATTTCATATGTAAATATATTCCTCCAAAGACTATCGCAGATAAATTCTGAGTTTGCCTATGCAGTCTCAGAAATGATTTTCAGATATATGAGGCTGTTGAATCTGTTAAATGGAAGCTGCACAAGCCAGAAAGAGCTTGTTATGAATTTAATATCTGTTAAGACTACAAGTCTGGTAGTTGGAGAACCCTGAAAACCATTTTCCTCTGGAGCAACTGAAAGGGAGCCAGTGTGGCTCTGTGTAATGCTTTCTTGGAACCCATCCTAAAACCAAAACAAATTATTTACAGCAAATAATGGTTATAGATTGATACGTAAGGTTCAGTAAAATGTAGCATAAGCTTTGGCTGCATTTCTTCCCTGATGGATAGTACAACCTGGAAGATGATAAAATACGTTTCAGATAGTCTCTCCAATTTTTAGCCATATATTGGGGTGTCTGCTTAGTAACATGGGGAAATAGTACCAACAAATAACAAACTGCTATTTCTCCCGGACTCTAGGGAGTCTTAAAAATGTTCTTTACCTTCTTCAACAGAGAGTGAGGTGAGCTTTTTTTTTTTTTTTCTGATATGATTTAAAAGACTTAGTATTATTAATACATAGAAAACATTGCTGAATCTAGCTCTTGTTTCTTTTTCCTCCATTCCCTCTCCCCCAAAATCACCCTTTGATTCAGCATGTCTTTTGTAGTGTATTGTAGAATAAGTGTACAAAACCAAGTAATTGCTCATTCATATCTATGCTGATTGGTATGAGAATATCTACAGATATCATTCATTCTTCTCTGACCTTGAAAAGAAGCTGTTTCTTGCACAAAAGACTTGTGGCAGAATTTTCTCTTTAAAATATTGCTAAAGGCTGTAGGATTCTTTATACTGTCTCATTAGTTTAACTTCTGGGTTTAATAGCTTGTTGACAAGTAGTTAATGGAAAATCCTGCTGTTCTAGGGAGCTGTTTAACTTTTATGTCATAAATATCATTTCAGTGTATAGTGAACTTGTCTGCGTTGCAATTTGCTTTCTGTCGCTTTTTGCACAGACCTTAAAAATGGCATCTTAGAATGTGTTTCGTATTCTTCTCTGCCAAATATAGAATTTTTCAGTCAGGCAAAGTATGCAGGAAGTTCGCTGTGCTGATGAGTATGTTCAGAGAGAAGTTAGGTTCCTAAAGTATCATTGAGTACCTTATTTCTAGTGTTCTTGTTTACTTAGACAAGTGTAAAGAACTTTCTCTATTTTGTTTTCTTCCTAGGCGTTTTGGACTGATGGGACTCTACAAAGGCCTTGAAGCAAAGCTCCTGCAGACAGTCCTTACTGCCGCGCTCATGTTTCTAGTGTATGAGAAACTGGCTGCTGCAACCTTCACGCTCATGGGATTAAAGCGTTCACGCCGGCATTGAGAAGGGCACCTGTGCCAAAGAGCGGGCATAGGAGGAGTATGTGGAGTCTAGGGAGGCGTATTCCATTTTTGAGACCAGCCTGGGTAACACAGGGTCCTCACTTTCTCTTTATTTCTATTCTTTTATAGCCACCTCCATCTCCATTATTTGGAGAAATATGAAGTAAATTCTATGGGACTTGTTGCCATCCTTTGGGGATAGCTCTGTCCCTGCTTTTCTGTGGATTTGCTGTGTTAAGAAGCAAATGGAAACCTTATTTAAGCACTTGAAGCAAAAGTTTTACTATTATATGATTTAGCTGACATTCTTGGTAAAAGTGGCTACCTCTCACTATTCTTAACTTTCTTGTTTTCCCTTAAAACTGTCCTCCACTATTCTTCTATGTTTACCTTCGATCAACAGCTGTCAGGGACTTGGTTTCATGTAGTTCTCCTTGCAGGGTGTTCATCTCACTTGATTTTCTTGGTTCATTAAAATAATTCATAAAGAATGTGATTCTTGACATAGTTTTCATTTACTTTCCAATATATTTGGGACACTACGATATCTTTCTCTGCCACAGAAATACCCAGTGGTGAGATTTCTGAACTGCTAAAATGTATGTTACTAGTGACTGAGTGTGCTGTCTTCTTGATTTCACCTACAAATTTAGAGTCTGCCTACTCAAAATTTGAGGCTGCTAAGAAGAACCTGCTTGGATAGACTACCTCAGTACCCTGTCTGGGAAATTCTTAAAAAAATCATTATGGAGATGCTGAAAGGCTATTACACAGAATCACAGAATGGTTGTGGTTGGAAAAGACATCTAGAGGAGTTACTACAAAGTAGTTCTAATGCCATTTTGGTTGAAATGTGTGGCTGCTAGATGTTTTAATTCAGTGTCCTATGTTTTGGCCTGTATGACTTGAAGGAGCAATTTTATTTTTTCTGGATGCTATACCTGTAAGAAGAAAGTAAATATTGTTACCTAACTGAAAAAACGCTCGTCTATCAGCCAGTGTGGTTTCAAAGAAATAAAACAGTACCTGACATCTTTCCAAATACAGTAAAAACTGCAACATGGAGTGCTGACCCTTGCTGGGTCTTAGCTAATCTTAGAAATTTTGCATTAGATTCTGCTCAGCTCTCCTGACCAACTGTGCTATTAGTTTCATAATAGGATGAAAGCAAAAGCGACTGAAGGTGGGAGTATATCTAAATGCCTCAGTGATTATATAAATATCAGGTGAATAAGGTACATCTTGTTTTGAAACTTCATTGCTTCCATCTTTTTGTAATGTTGATTTAGATACTAGACTGAATCCACCAAAAAGCAGCTTAACCGCAGATGACTGAGCAAAATGAGACAGTTTAGGAATTGTTCAGTCATTTGCTCGATCAGCAGGTAGAAGTTCATGTTTCAGGTGGTGTCTTCACTGATGATGAAATTCAGAATTGCTAAAATCATTTCAACAGGGCCACTAACCCGTGTGGCGTTGGCGTTGGGAGCTGCAGACATGGAGTGCGAAGCGCCACGGCCACGAGCGCTCGCAGTGAAACCCTCAGCTCCGGAATGGCTGAGGCTCGTGCCCTGCCTTTCCCTTGTGTGCCCAGCGTGTAACAAAAAATATCTTGTTACTTCACTACTAGAGAACTTTCAGAAGATACCTTAATCTCAAAGTGAAAAATATATATATTTTTCCTTAATACTGTTTTTGAGGGGAGGAAAAAGGGAGTGATTATCAAAAAGGTAGTTGTAGAGCAGGTCCTCTGTCTTTAGCCCATCATGGATCTATCCTTGACCTTAGTTTAGGAGATTTAAATGTAATCCTTGTTCCCCCACCTTCCTTTTGGCCCAAGTGAGGAGACTATTGTGGCATCTTTGTGCTATCTGAGGCACTTACCTGAGTACCACTTTGCTACTCAGCCTAGTGCATTCAGGACTGAATTTTGTTCCTGCTGGTACTCAGGAGAAGCGTGTTCTAGCATATGTTCACTCTTTGCCTAGTAATTAATACTGGGATCATCCTTAATACATTTTAGCTTCTAGTGTTACTCAGAAGTTGTAACCTGGGAGGACCGGTACCCTGTAACCTGGGAGGACCGGTACCCTGTAACCTGCTAGTTCTTACAGGCCATATCTCTATAGACTAGTAAGAAACCTCAGATTAGAAGCTGAGCTGAGGGTATAAAATACACTTTTTGTCTTAAGTAATGTTGAATTGCTGAATACTGCTAAGTTGTGCGACCTGTTCCAGAGCTCCTCGTACATTCTTGGAAGAATGAGTCATTCCACAGTTCAGTTTGCTGGCTAACCCAAACGAAACTATTAAAATGTGAAAGCTGTGAGGGAAGAAATACGAGCTTTGCCTCCAGTCTGTCCAAGAGGAATACTGCTTGCTGCTCTGCAAAGCCTCTAGAACAGATTAATTTTTCCGTTACATATCTCATTGCTCATCCGCTGAGGAAGGGGAAGGGAGGACTGCTGACCCGGCTCCTTACCCACCTTTTGTAGTGACAGCAGTGAAATACAGCTCGTTCAGAGGTGTAGGGGCAGCGTCAAAGCAAGTTTTCATAATGTAGAGGGGGCTCATGTCAGTTACAAAAACTAAGGCAGCAGCGAATCACAGAATCACCGAATGGATGAGGTTGGAAGGGACCTCTAGAGATCATCTAGTCCAATCCCCCTGCTCCAGCAGGGACACCCAGAGCACGTGGCACAGGGTGGCATCCAGGCAGGTTTTGAAGATCTCCAGAGAAGGAGACTCCACAACCTCTCTGGGCAGCCTGTTCCAGGGCTCTGTCACCCTCACAGGAAAGTAGTTCTTCCTCACATGGAACTTCCTGGGTTTCAACTTGTACCCATTACCTCTTGTCCTATATAATATGTATGAGGTTGTTCATACACCCAATGTATAACTTCACTAGTGTCTAATATAAGGGTATGATTTGCTTAATTACTTTTATTATTATTATTTGTAGCACTAGATCGAGTAAGGTTTGGTTTTAGGATTCAATAAAAACTAGCAAAATAGAGCTCATTTTGAATTCCTGCGGCGCCATGTAAATTGCCTAATACATTATTTCTTCTAATGGCTCTGCTCTTTCTTTGGCTTGTGTTTTGAAGAAACAGGCTCCAGGACTTCTTGGAAAATAATAATTTTAATAAAAGTTATGTCCACTGTCTTATTTTTTTTTGGTATCTGGTTACCAACAGTCTTCTCTGCTGTTCATAAAACTGCAACAAATCCGTCAAGACGGCCAGGAGTGCAGAGCAGTCAGTTTCAGGCAGGGAGCACAAGGCTGTGCAAGAGGGATTTGCAGTAGCGATTTGTTTGCGTGTCCTGGAGATACTGGTGCAATTGCTGCAGTTGGAAGAGGAGGCGACGATTAGAATTTGAAGTTGGTCCAGACCGGAGAGCTCAGCAAGAGAACAGCCTGCCACCATGTTAGCAGCCGTGGAGCTGTGCGTGTGATAGCCGGGGCCAGCGCTATTTACAGGATGTTCCCAGATGTACAACTTCAGCATGTTAAAAGACACTGAGATAGCATTTATGTGGTGGGAACCTGCTTGCAGAAATGCTTTCAAAGCAATAGGGAACTGCACGGTTCGCATTATAATCTGAGCCATATCAGCTGCACGAGTCTGCCTTAAAAGATTTTGCAATAGCTAGCTGGAGAAATTAGGCATGTATTCTTTTACTTTGGTGCTGGAAGGGCTTGTGTGGGCATTTTTTTCTAAAAGAATTCCCCATTACCCCATTACTTTGCATTTTCCATTCACAGAGTTGCTCGATAGAGTTTGGCGGTAATTTTCGAAGCAGCTGGAGGAAGTAACGTGTGTGCCTAGATTCCCAGGACTTTCATTTGGATTTTGGTTCCCCTGGCTGCTTTAAATTCTTTGGAAGGTCTCGCAGCAGCAGTGATAGGATATTGTAACCGAGTCTGGAATGACTTAAAAGCACAAAGTTGGCTTATCATATTAGGGACAGCATCTTGGATGAACAGATGTTTAACAACAGATCTTTTTTCAAAATGTTGCAATTGCAGATTTATCTATAATGCTGCATGCCAGCTGGCTACACGTGTGCTGCACTTGAGACATTTGTGAATGAAGAACCTGGAATCAAAACCAGTTCGATTCAGTGTTGTGGCATCAGCTTCGGTTTATCCTAGGAAAGCGCGTTTTTCCAACCTCCCCCGTGATCGGCTTACACCATAAGAGTGGTGATCATCAGCACTTGTTACCCTGCTGTCGTCACTGTGGATGTTGGTTTTATTTTTGGTAACAGCTAATCTCTTTGTATGCTTACGTCCAGGTACGGAGCATGCAGTTCTCTTTCTTTCAATAGGATTTATTTGGGATTAAGAGACAAATGCTCGCCAGTCTTTTGGCATGCTTCATTATTGCTCCCTTACTGAAAATAGTCACTTTAAATTTCTTGGCTTGGCCTACTTAATCTTAACCTGTGACTATTAGAGGATTTCAGTGTGTCCATGTGGATTAGAGAGATGATAGGGCCTAGTAGCCTGTTCTATTAGCCCAGGCGTGATGCAATGTTGAGAAGCCTGGACAAAACATCTCGACTATCTTGTTCTTAGGAAGTTTGCTGGGATTTTTTTAGCATCCTTCAAGAGCTATGGTGACTTGCCTGTGTGAAGCTTTTATACAGCACTCTCCTTCCCAAAGGCTGATGTGAGAAAGCTGATTTGATGGATTTTTGCCATCATCTTTTCTCATGCAAATGCCCGTGCGTTCTTAAGGCTCAAAGTGATTTGCTACATATGAAATAGGTATCTTGCCTTCTCCTGAGTTTCTATTATTTTGACTGTACATGAAAAAATATCTTGATACCATGTGTTACAGTTTTAAAACGGACCAGATTACGGTAGGCAATGTTTTCGCATTTTTCACAATGGGTGATTTTCACAACAGAAAGCTTTTTAACTCCCTGTTGCATTTTGCTCTTTCCTTAATACTTCAAATGGTATGGATTGGAGACTTTATGTGCTGTTTTCAAAACTCTGAAAATATT